ATCAATGTGTTTTCGATTTAATCAGTAAAAAAAAATTTTTTTTTTTTTTGCTGCAAGAACAGTACCTGCACTGTAGTAGATTTTCTTATCTAATATGAGATGCTGTTTTATATTTTCTAGTCTTTTTATGTATAAACATGGGAAGAGTATGTGGTCTTTGATTTAGTATTGTATATTTATATATACATAATTCTTTATGTAATTCATATGGTTGTCATGGTTTTTATTGATGGCCACATTCTTATAGATTATGGAAAAGAATAATGAAATATCATGTTCATTTTATTTATTCATGTTCAAGTTTCATGTTCAACCTAACCAACATCCTTAACTTCACTAATTAAACTGTCTCACAGAAATTCCACTCATTTACTCTCATACCAATGTTTCTACATTGAAACACAAAATAAATATTCATAACATTGAACTAATTGCCTGAAAGAAACAGAAAAATTGACAAAATTATGTAATGATTACTCATCAATTGACTAACAAGCTCACTAAATGTAGCATAAATGACTTTTTGTATATGGCTGCTATTGTTTCCTAAACTTTGGAAAAAGTTCAAGATAGTAAAGCCACAACCATCAGTTGATATTAAACTTCCTTTCAGCTAAACAACAATACACATTTAGAGAGACATCTAGATTAAAAACATAGGCTACAGCAATAAAGTTCATTGACATAATGTGTAAAGATAATGTCATATATATCTAATTATTGTTTCGGTAATTAATAAAATTCAAGGGAAAGAAGCAAGTCACCAAGGTTAGGAGGAGCTTGTCATTCAGATGCAGATCCTAATAGTATACCTGTGGACGAGTTAGAAATTTTGGGTTTTGCTGAAGAACCTGATCCATCTCTGCTTTTTGAACCATCAGGTATTATTGGGTTATCAAGTTACACTTTCTTCAAATATTTTTCAGTTTTTTTTACTATTATATGTCAATTTTGTGTTTAAAATACTTTTGTATTTAAGTAACCATATTAGGCAATATTGTTATGATAGTTTTAGGTTAATACCTTAATGCCATGTTTATAGATAAACGTGGTTAAGGAAGTAATTAGCAATGCTTTAGTCCTCCAGTGTGACAGCAGTATGTTTATGGACTTATAATGCTAAAATCTGAGGTTCAGTTCCCCAATGTGGCTTTGCTCTTTTACAAAGAACAACAAAAGAGTAATGCTTTATGACTGATTTTCAGATATTTTTCTATTCAAACTTAAAATCCTGAATTTCACATTCATATGCTTGGCTTGCTACAGAACTTTCAATGAGTAATATTGAAAAAAATATGTTAATACACACAATTTTCAAAATATCACAAGTTTTTTTACTGCATTTTAGGACATTTTTATGCTCATCACTGCTGTGCGTCTTGGTCAGAGGGAGTTTGCCAAACAGAAGATTACGTTCTTGTCAATGCTGACAAAGCTGTTTATGCAGGAATGAACCAGGTTTGGAAACTGATAGAATATGTTACTGTGATATGCACTGAATAGAGCATACATCTGTTTTCTAATGTAATAAGTTAATAAATGTGATTTGGCTATATATTCTCCTTTTTATTATTGTTTAACTAATGAAATAAAAACTTTTAAATTATGTGATTTATTTCTGGATTTTGTGTGAGGTTCCTTGTCATTGTTCAAATCTACAACTCAACTTTTTCATGCTATTTACATAGAGCTATTAAGTAATAAAAGCATCAGAAGTACTGTACCTTTTATTTTGCTATAATACTTGTTTTGTTAAAGCAGTACTCGTATAGTAAAAGTATAGCTGATGCAAGCATGTGGTATCAATAAAAGTACAAGTAGATATTCTCATGATTGTTCTTGACAGTGAGGGTACTTATAATAGCATTGGTTTGCAATATTTTTTGAATAAGTGTATTAACTTTTTGTTGAATGTCCTTACAAGATCAGTTTCTTATATTTTGGGTAACATAAAACAAGGTGTAGTTTAATTTGGAAGGTAGTAGTATTGTTTTTCTGAACCACAGTAACTGAGTTAATTGTTATAGTTTTGATAAATTTATGATGCTTCTTTAGAGATGCAGTTATTGCAGGAAGTTTGGAGCTACTATCAGATGTAGAGGAGGAAAGTGTAATCGTATATATCATTATCCATGTGCTGCAAGTTCCGGAACTTTTCAGGTAAAAGATTGATCTGTGGAACTTTTGTCATGTAGAATTACTTGTATTCTCCATGTTAGTGTGTTTTGTTTAGAAATTTATGAAATAAGTTTTAGAATAATTAGAAAACTATTCAACCTTAGCATTGACTATTGTAACAATTTTTGTTTTTGCAGGTTGGTTCATTTTGATTAGAGCTGAACAATTAGTGGAATGTGATAATTGAATGATCTAATCAGTTATTCTTACGTAAGATTTGTAATAATTGAAAACAGTAATAATCAGAAAAACTCATTGACTATTTTTGTGACATTAATCAATTTAATCATAATTTTGATTAATCAGTTATGACTAATGAATGTAACTGATGTCCATAGGTAATTCATTAGCCAGTTCTAATTTTGATTGTTTGCTGATTATCCAAATCTACAAAATAAAAGCAGTAAACTGTTATTTGTTTTGGCTTCATTCTTAGTAAAGTAACCTTAGTTTTAAATACCTAATACTGACAGACAGACAACACACTTCTGTATATTGGTATGAGTGGTTAAAACAAGTCACCCTTCCAGGCATCCTTTGTCCCCCCTTTCAGGGAAATTGTGTACTTTTATGAAACCAAATCTTGCTCTTGTTCTTACATTAATTTTCATTTTGTCTTTTTATGAATTATCAAAGTAATTTTGAGTTAGTGTTTATTAACTAGTTTTTATGGAAGGTAAAAAATTAAGCTAGACATGAATATGTTATATGATAAACTTAATATGTAAGTGTCATGTTTGAGTGTTTTCTTGAGCTAACTTTCTTGATATAAAGCTTGATTCTTATAAAATTTTGTTTTACTACATGGCCACAACATTGTATTGTAATTACCAGATCTTGAACAACTTGGATTAGAGGTCTTATAATTACAACACTTAACTTGTAATCTGTGGGTTGCAGAACTGAAATTTGTCACCAAACAAGTTTTCCCTTTCATCTGTGGGGGTGGGGGTGTTATAATATTACTATTTGTTGGTAAAGTGTAGCTCAAGAGTTGGTGGTGGTTGCTGTAGACTTGCTGCCTTCCTCTCTAGTCTGTCACTTCAGAATTAGGGACAGCTAGTCTAGATAACCCCTGAGTAGGTTTATGTTAAATTCAGCAAAACAAACAACTTAAATACCATCTTTTAAAACTCTCAATACGGGCTCAGTCAATTTGACCGACCATATGACCTTTTTGTACTCATGACATTTTTGTACTCGTTTAAAGTCTATATAGATATAATACTTATAACTCTCAATATAGTGTGTATATCTTCATGAAAATTTGGCAGTCTTTCAGTTAATATTACAAATCTTTCACATACAAAAAGTCATATTTCTTAGTGAAGTATTTTTAATAAAATAAAACAAAGATTTGTCCATGATTAGATTGAGTATTTGTTTAATATTTTCATATTAAAATTAAAAATACTTTTCCTCATCTAAAAAATGTCAAATTTCCTTTGTATAATGCCTAAAACCTCCTAAACTTTATAGGTTATCTGTTATTTTCTCTACTCTATTTCAAAATGGGATCAGTTAATTCGACTAACCTCATAGCTACCAAAAAAAAAACGAAATACACCAAAATTACCCTTTTTTCTTTCTAGAATATCTTCAATTTGTAACATGAAACTATGTTTGTTTATCCTAAGTAGCTTTAAGTTTGTAACATTATACATCTATTTGTAATTAAATTTTGTTTTATTGCCCCTTGAACTGTGTCTAAGTACTATCCGCACCAATACAAGTTGTAAATCACTCGGGGGAACTTGCAGCTCATGTTATTCTATTGAATTATGTTACCCACGAGCTGCTCACGTGCATGCCTCATGAACCATTTTAATTATATTATTATTATTACTTATTTTACTTAATCTTAATTTTAGTTACTTTTACAATAATAAATAAAGAATAAATGTGAAAAACAAGAAATAAAGTCCTCACCTAATCGTATTTTTTCTTGCCCTCGATTGTCAAGTAGAGTTAAGCTTGATTTTTTTTAATTGTAATGATAGTAACGCATTTAATAATTTTTATTTAACTAAATAATGTGCCAAAGAATATAGACTAATGTGCAGAAAGTAGACAAATTCCTTTAACTCTCAAAATTTTTCTGGCTTTCTAACGATGCGACAAGAGCTGTTACAAATTCATCCAAGCTAGTTGTTAACTTTCCCACGGGAACAAATCTTGTACTGTGAGTGAAACTGATGATATTCTGTACAGAATACAACGTTATACAATAGGCCATTTGATAGATGAAAACCTTGACTTTCTATTGGTTATAGGTAATATATAATGAAACGTAAGAGGGAACTATCAATGATTCGTGAGAGAGAGAATATGACAGGTGGGTGTGGCAGGAAGGGTGTGATTTTCTATTTGATAACCCTGTAACAAAACAGAATTGAAGACTATAAAAATTATGGTATGTCTGAGGAATAACGATTTTATAGAGGGTAATTTACCTTTAATTTTGTACATCTTCGAGGGGTGATGGATAAAATAGGGATGATGACATGATGATGAAGACAAAATGTGTTACGTGGGTCACACTAATGGAAATTCAGGATTTTAAAAAATATTCCCTTGTAGATTTAAGAACTTAAAACTTGTATATTATTAAAACATGGATTATTAGCTAAGATTTTATACTATTCTAATTGGTATAACATAAACAAAAAGTAGTTTAATACAATTTTGAACGTAAGACATTAAGACCTTGTGTCATGTGCAATAAAGGATACACAGGGTGATAGGGTTAAATCAGATATATTCAACCTTGTTATGGGGTGAACACCTTTTCTAAGTGGAAAGCATGATTATGATTAACTATACTTGTTGTAAGACATTACTTGTAGGCCTATTATATCTTTTAGTTAGTGTGTTAGACTTATTATATTTTGTAACACTTCATTCTTTATTTGGTCCATTAAGGTTTTTCAAGAAGAAGAATGCGTAATTGCTTTATATCTGCTATTTCCCAGGAGATAAAATATCCTGGTTCGCATCACAATTTTTTATTCAAAACAACCCCAGTTGCAAATCACTTTCCCCTTTGCTTAGCATAACATTAGAATCATTCCTTTATCTTGTATGTTGTCTTCTAGATCTCCAACTACACAAGTAAAATGCTAAATGTTTCAGTTTAATATACCAAAGCTGATGTTTGTTTCTCAGAAATTCCTACCAAATGGCACACACAATATTTTCACACTTTGACAAGCACATAAACATACACTTTGTAGTAGTCTGTTCATGACATTTGGAATGTGCCTGGTCGGTGCCTGCAACCTAGCCAACTAGACTAGAGTATGTACCTACACTGCACATTTACCATTGAACTAGTTACAAACTCTCTCAAAAAGCAGACAATGTTCCATAATTATCACAATTTTTCTGGCTTTCTAACTATGCATCAAGAGCCGTTACAAGTTCATCCAAGCTAGTTGATGTTTCCTGTGGAAACGAAACTTCTACTGAAAGAGAAATTAGCATTTTTCTCTATAGAAAACAATGTAATATAATACTTCATGAAAGAGAGGATGTGACAGGTGGCTGTGACATGAGAGGTCCGATTTTCTATTTGATGGATCTGTAACCAAACAAAATTGAAGGCTATGAAAATTATGCTTTATTTGAGCGATGACAATATTATAATAAGTAATTTATGTTAAATTTCATACTTCTTGGAGAGATGATAAAAAAATTAGAGAAGGAGGGATGCCTAGAAAAAAATGCGACATTTCTCACACTAGGAAAAATTCAGGGTCTTTTTTTTTTAATATTGCTTTATAAAATTAAGAAATTAGAATTTGTATACTATTAAAATTAGATTATTAGCTACAGTTTTATTCTATACTAATTTGTATAAAACGAACAAACAAAAAGTAGTTTAATCAAATTTTGAATGTATCTCACTAAAAACCTAGTGACATGCACAGTAAAGGATGCCTGTGGCGAGAGGGGTAATTATTACTGAAAAATCATTAGATATTTTCTTCTTCAAAAAGCCAAGGAGACCACGTTGTGATGAGAGTAATGAGGTCTCACTAAAAAAATAAATAAACTAGATTAATTTGAAAATTGGTTTGTGGTAAGCTTGTTCAGTTGCAATATCTTCCAAGTCACTTATTTCTCTGGTTAATAGATTGTTGCAGTATGTTGTGACAGCTGAGATGTTTGGTATTTCTTGGAATTTTGAAGTTTTACTTTATATACCAGGAACTATTTGTTCATGAAATAACATGTATGGTGCAATTGAATACTAGGGTTTGAAGCAGAATGAAAATGTTGTTAGAATAAAGACATATCATTTACCTCTTTTCATTAGTGGATGTCTTTACAAAGTTGCCATAATGTGTTAAAATGATGAATGTTAAAAAGATTCTAGGGCAATATTGTTTAATTGCTAATCAAATTCATCAAACTATTTTGTCCTTTGTATCCATTACTGACAGTGCATTTTGCTCTGTACAGAGTTATCCATGCTATCTAGCTTATGTGAAAGATGTTTCAACCACTACTGTGTTTATTGTCTAAACTGGCCTCTTGAATTCTGTATTGAGCTTTTGCCTTGTAGACAGTGGATATGGCAGACATAAAAACCCTGAGGGATTGAATAAAAAATACTTATGTCTTCTGACAAGTGTAATTAATTTTAATCATGCTTTGACAACTTAGAAAAGGTGTTTACACCATAACAATTGTTATTGTAATAAATAGTGTCCTGATTTATACTATGTGTGTTGCATTTTTAGCCAGCGTGATGAGCTTTGTATTGAGAGAAACACATTGTTTTCAATGATATGACAGACATATTGTTGTTGAAATACTATCATACACATCTTCATCTTGAAAAACCCTAATGGACAGAATAAAGAATGTAATGTTAAAAAATATAATCTGCCTAACATAACTATTTATAACAAATGTAATTGATTATATCCAACCATGTTGAAAATAATGTTTGTATTTCATTTTTTCCCAAGCTTTCTATAGTTTGCATGAATAAAGAAAACAACTTATAATAAATTGCAACCAAATATGTAAATAACTAATTTACTGTGGTTTCAAAGAGCAACAGTCTGTATCTTTTGCAGATGGTTTATGTTATAAAATATCAGTATGGGTATTTAGTCTAAACTGTAACAAGAATAATTTTGTTTTTTAATCTTATTTTTATTCACTATCATTTTTTGTTTTTACATGTTGATTGTTTATAATTAAGGGCAAAGAGTATTTACAACCATGCCTTTTACCGTGATAGTTTTGAAAGGTGCTTGGACTTGAGGAATCCAGAAAATATATATCATAATTTATTGAAGGGCTGGGCATCTCTTAATTGTTTAAGTGCTTGGATTGTGAGTGAACCTGAAAGTTTATTGTTCACATTCTATTGCTGCAAAACTATGCTTCACACTTTGGAGCCCTGCTACAAGTGTGATGGTTAAAGCCCACTATTTAGTCAAAAAAAGAGTTGGTAGTGAATGCTTTTGACTAGTTTCCTTCACTTTAGCCTCTCATTTCAAAATTTGAGATGGCTAGCATAGATAGCTTTTAGGAAGTTTTGCACTTATATTCAAAATGAAACAAACCATCAAAATAGTTGATATTCCTATTTGTGCATATCACTGTAATTATGTTATCAGCTCCAACTACAAGATATTTAGAAATAAACTTTAGGATAAGTACCTTGAAATCATTATCTTCTCCAAAAAAATGTAAATTAATCAAGATCTTCATAAATGGAAAAGAGAAGCTAACTCAAAGAAAAAATTAACATTTGTAAAAATCACATGGACATAAATGCTTACTCCAAGTATGATACACACTGTGAATCCAAGTTGCACCTTATAAAGGACTAATAAGTTGTTGAATGACCAATAAACATGTCAAATACATTATTTTTTGCCATTAACTTGTAAATACATGGAGTTAAACCTAACATAAATGTATGAAAAATAGATAAGGTAATGCAAATGTATGTTGTTAAGTCAGGAAAATATAGGTTGCTAAAGCCAAGGCTAGTAGTTAAATCTTTGCTGACCACAAATGGAAATATTTCCGAAGATCTTTCCACTACTACAAAGGATTGAAAATATCTAAGTAATAATATAAAAACCTTAAAAAAACACAATAAAGTATTTGTTTTCAAATAGAAATTATTGAAAATTGAACATTGCAAAATTGATATGTCAATATGAAATAATAGAACATTTAGTTTTATTCATAATTTTGTTAAACAGAAGATGTATGTTAATTCATTGTCATTTACATAGCTAAAGAAAACATATTGTCTAGACTTGGCAGGTATTATACTAAATAGGCAAATGTAATACTTAGAAGTTAAGCCTGTGCATGTTTCTGTAATGAGATTTTGTAGTTCCTTCCTCTGTGCTAAGGATTTATTTAAGTATAGATTGTCTTTATTGTCAGAAAGTCACTGCAATGTTTAATTTTTTTATGTATTTGTTTTTAGGTATGTTTTGAGACAAAAGATAAATGTTACGATGTTTTAACCAGTCATGCAACCATCAGTATATTAATGGTATAATATGTTTATGCAATGTTCCTGTTTTTGATTTTTATATGTCTATGTATAACTTGCATTTTAATATAAGTATTGTATATCTTGAAAAATGAAAATCACTTTTTTATTATTATTATAGGATATTAAAACCCTTACTCTTTTGTGTCCTCTTCATTTGAACCAAGCACCTTCTGTTGGTAAGTTTATGAACTCTAGGTATTTAAACTTCTTTGGGTGCTAAATTGGTTCCTTTGCATTTCATACAAGAAATAAGTGATAAACTTTTAGTTGCTTTTGAGGCTATGGTATGATTATTTGGAAAGGAGAAGTAAGGACTTGAACTCTACCATTTGTTATATATACAAGATATTATTGATACATAAGATTGATGCTTCATGGTATCTTTCTAGACATAAGTATGGTATTATATAAATAAATGAAAAACATCGTACAGTATATCAAAAAAATGATTTTTGGGTAAAAATATAATCAATACACATTCAAATTTCCACTTGTGGAGACTTGGCATGACCTTGTGGTTAGGGGCACTCAAGTCACAATCTGAGGGTTGTGGGTTTGAATCCTGTCATGCCGAACATGCTCGCCCTTTCAGCTGTGGGAGTGTTATAATGTGATGGTCAATCCCACAATTCATTGATTAAAGAGTAATCTAAGAGTTGGCAGTGTTTACTAGCTGCCTTCCCCCTAGTTTATCACTGTTAAATTAGAGAAAGCTAGTGCAGGTAACCCTCATTTAGCTTTGTGCAAAATTCAAAACAACCCAATTCACCTGTGGATAGAAATAATAAAACTATAACACTTACTCTTCTGTTTTTTCTATTTATTAATTTTTTCTACCAGTTTCATGACTTCAAAGGTCATTCTTCAGGATTTAATTATACAGAGAAACTATAATAAAAACATTCAAATACCATTTCCGATACGGTACTTACTTCCCTTAGCTATTATCGTTTAGTGCTGACCTCTATATGCAAAATTTGCTTTATGCATGCCACAAGCCTTGTGCTCCCCCCTTGTTGGAATTACTCTATTCCAACATGTCTCTCATTAAAATCATCATGCATCACCTCTCAACCAAGAGTAGCATGACATGCTCACATGATGTATGTGACTCCGTCTATGCTCCTCTGTTGAACCTTCACTTCTCGTTTGGCAGCATTGAAGTTCAGGCATCTTCTATTATGTGCTTAGTGCTTCCCATGTGACAAACAATTTTTCTTTTTTGCACGAAATGGCTCCTTTTTGAGTTTATTTTTTATTTTATACCAGTTCTTTCTTGTTGCTATATTTCTGCACTCGACAATTTATGAACATTTTCTTGAGTTATGAATTCCAAAGTTCATGTTACGACTTTGTGGATCACACCAATGACCGGTGTTTTTTCTCAAGCCTCAGTTTCAGATAACCCAATGGTGGATCTCTCTGCTTTTATACGTTGGGAGATTCAATGGTACATGGGTTAACCTTTGTCCCCTGACATCGCCCAGGCTCCACCTGAGTTAGCTCATATTGTTCAAAATGGCGAGATTTTGATAGTCTTTTCATGCCTCCAGAGTTTGCCATTCCTGTCTACTTGCAACCTGAGGATTCACCTAGGCCTAATTTGGTCTTCACAGATTTCATGTTTCAGGCTTGTGATGTTTTATCCCCTTCCCCTGTCTTTTATTCACTTCGTCCTTCCTTGTTATATAAGACCATTTTTGGTATTTCCTCTCTCCTCGGATATTCAGGTACATGCTGATCAATTTGTCTCGCAATTAAGTGAGAGTTGTTCATCCTTTTCTTCCTATTTCCCTTCCTTTTATATCCCATCTTTACCCTAGACCAGATCCAGATAGACTTCTGTGTCAAGTCAGGCCACTTAAGGGATAAAAAGTCAGTTGCACATACCCCGAAAAGTAGCAGTACGTGTTATATAACAATGGGCAATCCTCACTTTGTGATTTTCACCTTCTAGCCTTATGAATTGGATCTGCCTTTTGGTTTGTTTGGCCTACTCTTCCTTGCCTTCTTCCTTCTGTGCATTGTTTGATGTTTCCTCAATCATCAGATCAAACATTTCACCTTTTCTCTCACTTCTTATTTTCATTGTCTGATGGAAGAGGTTCTATAATCCTGCATGTGGACCATTCCCTGTATGTTCATCTCCCACTATCTTAATCGTATCTCGCTTTCCTCGTGTCTGGGTTTTGTCTACCACCTATGGACATTCTTCAAACTTTGGTGACCTTAACTGGTAAGTTTTCTTTATTTTTTTTTCAGGGGCCTTTCTCTCCCTTTTTATCACATGGATCCCACTATGTGGTGAGTGGTGCCTTGACCAGATATTTTTTAATTCTAAGTCTGCACTGTCAACCATGTTGACTTGCACTGTCTCTTCCATGGCTTCACAAGCTCACCATTAAGATGGGGTGTACAACAAAATTGCTTGATAGTTAATTACCTCATGAGAATTTGCTTCATAAACATGCCCGTTCTGGACTGTACCACCAATGGACTACATGGGTAAAGCAGAAGAAGGGGATAGCTACCCATCCCTGCCATGCCTCAGGTGAATAACTTGGTATGGAGTTCTTTTTAGAATAAGGTTTCTTGGTCACCCATTGCACTCTCTCAGGTGATGACGTTCCTCTGGGCTCTCCACTGCATTGTCACCTCCCTCGAGTGGAGTATGTGAGTTCCAAGCCACTGGGGTGGTTGACCATGGAGACACCCTCCTGAATGGGTTCCACAAGGAAAATCAACTCCAGTGGTTGTTTAAATGTTAGTAGGAGGCCATATCATCTGTGAAGGTGACAGCTTGACTCTAGTGGTTGTGTACATGATGTCAGGAGGCCACGTCAACCAGCAAGGTGATGGCTCAACTCCTCTGGAGGCCACATCGCATCTACACCAGAAGAACACCACCCTACTTTCAAATGAATGGTTTTAATCGCCATCACCTTCTGGTTGACTTGGCTTCCCGCTTTCTTTACACAAACACTAGAGTTGACCCATCATCTAACTGGATGACGTAGCCTCCTGATACACATTACATAAACACTGGAGTTGAGCCGTTTCAATTGTAGTTCACCCCTTTGATTGGGAGACCTCATCCTATCTTCGTGTGGAAGTCAGTTCCCAGCATAGAGGTTTTGTATTGGAGTGAACTAATCAACATAGTCCTCACTTGAGTACAGGTTGCCTATCTTCCTCCCCCAATTGCTCTGTCTATGTCTTTGATCACAGCGGTAGTATGTGAGATTGTTCCAGTGCTATCTTTGACTATCCCTTGTTCTCTTCTTATGGGGATGTTATTGCCTTTGGATGGTGCCGACCTGTACTACAGTTAAGAGAGTTCATTCCATGTGATGGACATCCTTTCAATACCAGATGTCAATTCCCAGATTGATAGATCAGAGATGATCCTCATAGCATACCAAAAAATTGGTGTGGGTCTTAATCATGATTCTTACATTTGAGGTGAAGACGGTATGATCCTTATTCTACCATTGTGTGTATGTTGGTCCCCATGAAAAGGTTTTGGATGTAATCGACTTACTGAGTACAGTCAACCGCACCCAAGCCACTCTAGACCTTACAATTTCTGCCCTTGTGCATTACACTGTCTACACATGGGCAAAGAGTATACCTGGCTCAGAAGTGGTACAATTCCATTCTTCTGATCTTTGGATTCGTATCTCATTGTCACAGGTATCCTTCAGACACCTTTGTGTGTGTGGTGGGGGGGGGGTGCTTCTTTTGTCCCCTCGCACCAGTCCCTCCTCATTCTAGTTAATTTTGTGAGGGGAGGTAAGTACTGTATCAGAAGTTATAGTATACCTATACTGAAAATGTATTTCAGATAGGTTCTTACCTCTTTTCACATTTTCCACTCTTCCTCCCCACTTCTCCAGTGCTCACACCTTCTGCCAAACTTCCGAAGGTTTGGTAGAGGAGTGTTAAGGGATGCATGACATGTGTCACATGAGCATGTCATGCTACTATTGGTTAAGAGATGACGCATGATGATTTGCATGAGAGACATATTGGAATATATTGTGCAAGGCTTGTGGCATGCATAAAAAAAATTTGCATTAGAGGGCAGCACTGAACGAGAATAACTGATCTTGTAAGAGGTAAGTATCTATCGGAAATACATTTTCAGAATAGGAAAATTATAACTGAACTAAACGTAAATAACCTCAATTAAATACATATTTTAAAATGTTCAAATGTAAAATACATTTGTATAAATTAAGTATATTAAAATATATTCAAATTTATAATAATTTAAGCTTATCAAATATTTTTACCTTTAATCTGAATTCCTTTGTCATTTTATTTCAATTGTACTTTATCTTATTATAGAAAAACAGTTTATTTTCCTAATTTTTATTCATAATTTAATACAAAAATGTATTCCTCTTTAATTAAAACAAAAATGATAAATCAAATGAAAAGAAAGTTTATTTGATAAGCTTAAATTATTATAAATTTGAATATATTTTAATGTAATTAACTTATACAAGAACTGTATTTTGCATT